AAATCCCTATATAAATGGTCAGTTGATATTTGACAAGGGAGTAATAAAATTCAGTGGGGTAAAAGATCATCTTTCAAACAATGATGCTGAAAAGACTAGATATTCACATGCAAAAGAATGAAGTTGGACCCTGCCTCATACTATATACAAAAATTAACTCAAAATGGATCACAAACTTAAATGTAAGGACTATAAAAGTCTTAGATAAAAGCACTGGTGTTAATCTTCATGACCCTGAATTAGATTGGAATTTCTTAAATATAAAACCAAAAGTAGAAATGACAAAAGAAAAAATAAATAAATTGGACATCATCAAAATTAAATATGTTTTTATATTGAAGACTTCCTTCAAGAAAGTAGGACAGCTCACAGAATGGGATCAAATATTTGCAAATCACATACCTGATAATGGATTGTAACCAGAATCTACAAAGAACTCTTACAACTCAATGATAAAAGGAACAAATGATTTTTAAACTGGGCAAAGGATATGAATAGACTTTTCTCCAAATAAGATCTACAAATGACCAATAACCATATGAAAAGATGCTCAACATCTTAGTCATTAGTGAAATGCAAATCAAAACCACAATGAAATAACACTTCATATCTACTAGGGTAGCTATAATAGAAAAGACAGTAACAACTGTTGGTGAAGATGTTAAAAGTTGGAAAACTCATATAATATTGGTAGAGATGAAAATGGAATAGTTGCCTTGAAAAAATGTGTGGTGTTCCTTCAACTCTTAAATGTGGATCTACCATATGACCAAATGTATAATCCCTTTTATATGGAATATCCAGAATGGGTAAATCCACACAGGTAGAATGTAGACTGGAGGGTCCTAGAGACTGGGAAGAAGGATAGGTGGGGCGTGACTATTGGGTATGAAGTTTCTTTCTGGAGTAATGAAAATATTGTGGAACTAGATATGGTTTTGATTGCACAACTCTATGCATATACTAAAAAAACAAAGAAATGTACACACTTAAAGGGAAGGTTTTTGTGGTAAATGAATTATATTTCAATAAAGCTTTTTTAAAATTTGTTTTTATTTTAGCAAATTATGGGGGTACAAGTGTTAAGGTTACGTATATTGCCCATGCCCCCCCTCCCTCAAAGCAACCTAAAAACAACTGTATTTTTGCAACATTGAGTTCCATATACAGTAATCACACTGACTGGAAATATTCAGTTTCCTATTTAAAACTTACATAACTACCTGAGATATGATTTATGAGTCATTTTGCTAACCAGCTAGAATTAACTCCCCTTTTAAACTCTCATTGCTTTACAATTAAACTTTTATTTTAAATTACCATGTTTTAATAGTAAAGGTTATCTTAGGTCTCTCATTGGTTATGGGACTATAAGCAGTTCATTTAACCTTTACAAGACCCATGTCTTACATTTGTGAAGACAACAACACATCAGCAAGATTGTGGGGTAGGATGTCCCTTGCTTAGATTCCCTTACATTAACAATAATTTGGCAGCCATCCAAAAGATAAACGTGCCTATGTGGAAGCTTTGGGATCCAGGCAGGAGGTTGTGAAAACCTGGCAAAGCCTAAGACCGAGGAGGGCTGTTTTGAGAAAGCAGGCCTGAGCCCAGTGGCAGGCTCACTGAACATGGTCCTGGCTATGAACCCAGAAACAGCCCTGTGGACTCAACAACTACCCCATTTAGCCAGTTTCTGTCACAAGCATCATCCACCAAGGTACCTGGTAGGAAACATGACTGCCCTTTCCTTGGGCAAAAGGCTTACCAACCTCAGTCCAAGCTGTGGACCCTGAAGCAATCCTGCTTTACTCATACTCAGCTAAAATCTGGATGTAGTCCTGGATGTAGTCCTGTCTGCCCAGAAACCTGATAGAAAACACTCCCATTCATGTCCCTGGAGGCAGGCCTGCTGACCTCAACCTGACTATATATCTTCAAATAGATCTACAACTTCACTCCAGCCCCCTTAGCCATATACTGGAAGCAATCTTGCCCACTCAGTGACCCAACAGGAAGCACACTTGATAAACTGAAGAGAGAAATAGCAATAGAGTAATAGAAGGGGACCTCAATACCCCAATTTCAACAATAATCATCAAGACAGAAAATCAATATAGAAACAGCAGAACTGAATAAACATTACAGACCAAGTGTACCTAACACACATGTACAGAACATATGATCTAACAACAACAGAATACATAGTTCTCAAGTTTACACAGAACTTTCTCCAGAATAAATTATGTGTTATACCACAAAATGAGTCTTAACAAATTTAAGAAGACTGAACTATCTAGTGTCTTCTATGGTCATAGTGGTGTTAAACCAGAAATCAGTGACAGGAAGAAAACAGGATAATTTACAAATATATACAGATTAAACAACTCTACTAAATGATAAGTGGGTCAAAGAAAAATCCAAAAGAGAAGTCAAAAAGTATCTTGACATAATGAAAATGGAAACACAAAAATACCCAAACTTACAAGATGCAGCAAAAGCAGTTCTTATGGGAAAGTTTACAGTGATAAATACTTACATTATGAATAAAGATCTCAAAACAATAAAACTTTACACTTTAAGGAACTAGAAAAATAACAAATTAAGCCAAAATTTAGAAGAAGAAAGGAGATAATAAATATTAGAGTAAAATAAGGAAAAGACCAAAAAATGAAATTAAATTGATTGAAATAGAAAAAAAATCAACAAAACTAGTTGTTTTCTTAAAAGAAAAACAAAATTGACAAATATTTAGCTAGATTATGCAGAAAAAGGGTGAGAACTCAAATAAATAAAACCATAAATGAATGAAAATACATAAAATTGGTAGCACATAAATACAAAGGATTTAAGAGACTACCATGAACAGTTATACACCAATAAATAGCATATCCTAGAACAAATGAATAAATTGCTAGAAACATACAACCTACCATGACTGAATTATGAAAAAAAATGTAAAAATCTGAATGGACGAATAATAAGTAAGGATCTTGAAGCAACAACGAAAAACCTCTGAACAAAGAAAATCCCAGGACAGTAATAGATGGTATACAGTAATAGAAGAGGACCTCAGTACCCCAATTTCAACAATAATCATTGAGATAGAAAATCAATATAGAAATAGCAGAACTGAATAAACACTATAGACCAAATGTACCTAACAGACATGTACAGAACATAACATCCAACAGCAACAAAATACACATACTTCTGAAGTGTACACAGGCTTCATGGGTGTGTTATACCAAGAATTTACAGAATTAAAACCAATCCTCAAACTCCTTCAAAAAAATTGAAGAGGGGATACCACCAAACTCATATTACAAGGCCAGCATTACAATGATATGAAAGCTAGACAAACATAATACAACATGAGAAAATAAAATTATAGGTCTATATCCCCAATGAACACAGATGCGAAAATCCTCATAAAAATACTAGCAAACCAAATTCAACAGCACATTAAAAAGATCATGAATATGGAGTACTATTCAGCTCTAAGAAACAATGGTGATATAGCACATCTTATATTTTCCTGGTTAGAGCTGGAACCCATACTACTAAGTGAAGTATCCCAAGAATGGAAAAAACAAGCACCAGATATATTCTCCAGCAAACTGGTATTAACTGAGTAGCACCTAAGTGGACACATAGGTACTACAGTAATAGGGTATTGGGCAGGTGGGAGGGGGGAGGGGGGCGGGTATATACATACATAATGACTGAGATGTGCACCATCTAGGGGATGGTCATGATGGAGACTCAGACTGTTGGGGGGAGGGGGGGAAATGGGCATTTATTGAAACCTTAAAATCTGTACCCCCATAATATGCCGAAATAAAAAAAAAAAAAGATCATGAATAATGATACGGTGGGATTTATTCCTGAGATGAAAGGTCATATTGACATAGACAAATCAATCATTAACTTGAGGAATTCTTCCTTTAATGAAGATCATTAACAGAATGATTTTCTCATTAAATGCAGACAAATAATTTAACAAGATTCAACATCTTTTCATGATAAAAACTGTCAATAAATTAAATATGAAACGAATATACACTAACACAAAAGAATTCATATATGACAAGCCCACAGCTAGCATCATATTCAATGATGAAAGCTGAAAGATTTCCTCAAAGATCTGGAACAAGACAAGGGTTTCCACCACTCTCACCACTTCTATTCAACATAGTACTGGACATCCTAGCCAGAGAAGTTAGGCAAGAAAAAGAAATAAAAGTCATCTAAATCAGAAAGGAAGAAGTTATATTATCTGTTTGTACATGACATGATCTTTTTCTTTTTTACAGTTTATTATTTTTATTTTTTTTTATTTCAGGATATTATAGGGGTACAAACATTTTGCTTACAACTAATACTTTTGCATAGCCCAAGCCAGGGCTAGAGGCATTAAACCTAAGGCATGAAACCTTAAGAATTCTGGAAGAAAATGTTGGGAAAACTCTTATAGACATGATCTTATATATAGAACACTCTCACAGCAAAAGTGTTCAAACTATGAAGCAACTTCAGTAAAGTTTCAGGATACAAAGTCAACATACAAAAATCAGTTGCATTTCCATACGGTAGTAACAAACTTCCCAAAAAAGAAATTGAGAAAGCAATCCCATTTGCAATAGCATCAAAAATACTTAGGAAAAAATTTAACCAAAGAGGTGAAAGATCTCTTCACTGAAAACTATAATACTCTGATGAAAGAAATTGGAAAAGACATAAATGAATGGATAGATACACCACGTTCATGGATTGGAAGAAGTGATATTATTAAAATGTCCACATTATCCAAAGCAATCTACAGATAAAATGGTATCCTTATGAAAATTCCAATGGCAGTTTTCACAAAAATAGAAAAATAAATTCCAAAGTTTGTATGGAATCGCAAAAGACTCTGAATAACCAAAGGTATCTGGAGTGAGAATAACAAAGCCTTGAGATATCACACTTTTTTTTTTTTTTAGTCTCAGCATTTTTTATTGGCAGTGGAAAATGCTTCAGTACTTTATTGAAAGAAAGCAATAAATAATACTGTGATAAAAATAGTTCAAAAGTAGACTGTACATACTTTGTTACATGATCAGGAATTTCACAAAAGATTAATAGAAAAACAGAACAGTAACAATGAATTGTACAAGTAAATTAGAAGCAGAAACCAAATGTAAAAAGACATGCCGTCTCTATCTGTATCAGCTGCATAATAAATAACGCACCGTGACCTGACACATTGCTTGCTGGCTTTTTAATATGCCGCTTAAAAAGGAAAAGTTACATTTGCTACTTATACAATCCAAAATGGCTATATCATCAAAGTCTAAAAAATGTACGACTAGGTTCATTCTTTAAACATGTTTACAAACAAATGTAAAAAAGATGATTTACATAAGAAACATAAGGCCTTTATGAGAGTTGCACGACACAGTTCTCAGGATCTCCTGCCTTCATCTGTTATACGCACCGAGGTCTGTGAGATGAGACCACAGTGCTTGGTGATTGGTCCTCGAAGAGTGGGTGTAAGGGCGCCGCGCCCCCTTGCTGGGGAGGGAAGCAGAGAAGGAGGCTCCCAGCGTTGGGGCCAGTCCCAGGTTACCTGTCTTTCTTTCCCGCTGAGAAAACTCTTTCCAGTTCCCAGCTCCTGTCAGTCACTGAAGACAAGCTGCCCAAGTCCAAAGACTAGGCTAGGAAAGAGTTAACCAGTGCTAAGATTTTATAGTGTTCTGATAATCCTTTCAGTCCAAATTTTATTAGAGGCTGATGTTTAATACCAGTTATTTAAAATCTGTTCACGCTGCAGAAAAAAAGCATTTCTTGCTAGAAAAAGTATAGTTAAGGTCAGTCATTAAAATACAACAATTGCTTGAAATTAAGTATGCTTATTTCCAAATGATTGTTGCAGAGCTAGGTTGCATTTGTAAAGGACAATGCACATTGCTTGTGTCATGATACTTTTATAAACATAGTAAAATCCTTTATCATGGTTTATCATTAAAAAATTAAACAATGATAATTACAATAAATGCACAATTTACAAAAGCCCTATATTTATTCATAGCATTTATACATACAAGCATTACAGTACATTCTTTTGAAAGACTAAAATTAGGTATAAGAACTTGATTTGAAAGGATATTTATAGCCTGGATATACATGAAAAAGTAAGTAACTATATAAATGAAGAGTCATAAGTTTACATAAATATAAGAAACATTAAATTCTAAAATATTTTCTCTATGGTATTCATGAATTTTTTTACTAATTAAAAACTCTGTAATAAAATACCTTAGGGTCCATATAACAATTATTAACAGATTAAAGATTCCACTGGATTCTAAAATGTAGTCTTTGTCGGATTCAAAATGCTGCATAATCATCTGTAGAAGTAGTGTGGGTAAACAACAGGAGGCTTTAGCAGGAGTAAGTCCTGACTGTAGCAGAATCCAACCTCTGCGTTCCTGATACATTGCCGTCCATCTGCATCTTCTTTGGCTGCATAGAGGATGAAGACATAGAAGAAGTAACGCGGAAGTTTGCAGGGAGAGTCTCTGCTGACCCAGCAGCTAAGCCACGAATGTCCTTTGGTCTAAATTTTTTTCTCCATGAAGGTGCTCTCCTAAAGCTTTTATCATCATCTTCATCGAACCTTCTGTCAGTTCCCATGACCAAAAGGTTGTTAAACTCTCTTTCCAAGACAGCACGAGCCTGTGTGTTCTGCGTCGGGATCTGTAACAGCAGCACCAGTGCGTTGAAATCGAACGTTTCATCTAAGGCCAGAAGTGCACCGTGAACGCCACTCTCTATGAGATTGTTTGCATATCCTTTAAGACCAATAGACAGGATCCAGCGAATCACTCAATCATTGCTCCAAACAAGGACATCTTTTATTTCATTCTGGCTTTCTTCTCTTTTTCTTTCCAGTTCTTTTTGGTCATAATTTAACCTTCGCAGGCACATAATTCCACACTGGAAACTGTTTCTGTGGAAACTGTCAACCATTTTCAGCTGCCCGCGGAGGTCCTTCTTGATCAAGTGGTCCAGCATGCGGGCATCAACAAGGCACTCCATGAAATAGCTGCGGTACTGCGGGAGGCCCAGGCTGGGGAGCCACTCGTTGCCAGTCCACTCGTGGTTCATGTCCCCGTATGCAAGTGTCGTTTGCGGCGTGGCTGCGAGCATTTCCATCTCTTCGTGTGTTAACCAGACATTTCCTGTGGTCGTTCTAGATGTGGGCTGGGCAGACGGGCTGGTGAGCGACATGATCTCCTGGATGGCCAGCCACAGCTTCAGCCTGTGCAGGGGGTTGCTGATGCCTATCTCCCGCTGGATCTCCGTGTCCGACAGGGCCGACATGATGGCGCCGCTCTTCACATTTGCTCGGCAGGCGGCCACGTACCAGGCTGGCATCCCCACCCACAGCTCCAGCCAAATGACAACAGTTGGTCCATCCCACTGGGCAAAAGGTAAACCTTGTCTCCGGGCTTCCTGTAGCAATTCGTGTTTTTGAAGTTTACGACTTTTTTCAGCCTGTCCTCCCAATTTGCTAAGTCCCAAGGCATCTGGAGATTAGTTCTCTGTCTCTGAAACACCAGCTTGCTCTAACGAGGCTTTGCCAGCTGGTCCAGGCCGGCCCTTTTCTTTCTTGCCAAACAAGCGGCCAATAGAGGACTTGATGCCCTTCTTCTTTGGGGCTTTGTGCAGCGAGTCCTGGCTCCTGTTGCTGCTGCTGGGATTGCTCACAGGGCCATCCTGCGAGCCTGTGGAGTTTCTCATGTCCCTGATGTCCTCATGGCTGACTGTGTGCAGCGCTCCTTTCTGTGGCCTGTCTAGCCGGAGGGACCCGGGGGAGGCAGGGGGGGAGGTTTCACATTTTATTGTTGTCTTATCATCTCGTACCTCTTCTCTGGAATATGGCAATAGAGTCATGATGCCCAGTCTGTCCACCTCCCTGGCTGGGCTGTGCGGGATCCTCCTTGGGGTGGAGCGACCGCTGCCTGGGGGGGAGGAGCCGCCAAGCGAGGAGGCAGGATATGGGGGAATGGAGCTCATTGATCTAAAACGACCAAGATTGTCTAAACTTCCACTACCAACTCTACTTTCAATCTCCTCTGCTCGCTGCTCTGTGTTTTCCTTTTCTTCTTGTATCAACCTTATCTCTTTGTTGATGGCGTCCAGCTGCTCCTGAAGCATCATGGCTAACGTCTGTGCATCGGCCTGCCCACTGGGCGACAGCAGATCAACTGAGCTGATCCTTATCATGTTGCGTTTCTTCTAATTGCTTTTTTGCATTTTCAACTTCTTGTAATAGAGAATTCTTGTCTTCCAAAGCAGCCATCCTCTCCTTCAAGTGGAGCTGAAGCTGCTCGTTAGACTCTGAGAGAAGCTTGTCGACAGTGTCTGATAAACGTTTATTATGTTCTTCATTCATTTTTTCTCTCTGCCTTGTCCGCTGCAGTTCTTGATTCTTTTCCTCTAAATGCGCTTCCATCTGTCGTAACCTTTCTTCAATGTTGCCGTGTCTCTCTTCAGCCTTGGAAAGGGCGGCCACTCTCTGGGCCATCTCGGCCTCCACCTCGGGGAGCGTTTCGGCTTTTCTCAGAGTCTGCTGCAGCTTCTGCTCTGCCAACTCCAGGCGTTCTTGTAACTGGCGGTTTTTATCTTCAGTCTGTCGATGAATAGAATCTTTATTTGCAATTTCATTTTCAAGTTTGTCATTGAGGTCATGCACAGATGTGGCTTCACGCTGTGCAGCGAGGTAGCGTTTTTCAAGAGTGGTGATTCTCTCTTCCATGTCTTCCTTCTGGGCCATGGCTTCACGGACATCTCGTTGCAATTTTGTGTTCATTTCTTCAGATTTGATGAGATCTTTTCTAGCAGTGTCAAGATCCTCTTCCAGCTCTGCCACGTGACTGGAAAGAGCAGCCAGGCGCTCCTTCATCTGGCTCTGCTCCCTTGACTGCTTGCTTATGGTTTCCTGCAGCTCAATTACCTTAGCAAGGTCTTCCTCATGGCTCAAAGACCCATCAGAAGATCTCTTTCCGTTCGTACTCGGCGTGCTCTCTTGTTCATGGTTTATGTCAACCACTCCATCTGTTAGTGTTTTCTTCTGATTATTCTGTTCTTTAAGAATCATTAGCTCTTTGTGTGTGGCACCTAATTCTTCTTCTAACAAACTACATCTTTCAAGTGCTACTCGTAACCGTTCTCTCACCTTTTCATCCAGAGCTTTGTGGTGTTCAAATAATGACTTCAGTGCTTTAAGCACTTCCACTTCGCTGGACACGCCTGCTGGGGACTGAGCTTGTCTCTTTACCACGGTCATCCTGAGGGACCGCTCGTGCCTAGAGAGGAGGCATTCCAAGTGCTCCAACAGCAACCTGGTGTTGTTCCTTTCTGCTTTCAGTTCAGCAATTTCTTCTTCCCTTTCAAGGAGCTGTTCCCTGCATACATTGAGTTCTTTAGTAAGTGCTGCGAACTCCTTTATAGTCGCTTGACAGAGATGACAATGCGGTGCACTGGGGAAAGGATGGTCCTTTTAATAAAGTATGGAGGTTAACTGGATATTCATATACTGTGGAAGTGCAGTGTTGAGCTGTCTCTGTAAGGAATCTCTTTCATGACCAACCTCGTGTAATTTCCCCTGGGTTAGTGCCAATGTTTCTTGAGTCTCTCTGAGTGTGTCCAGAAGACAATCCCTTTCTTCTAGCATGGAGACCATCAACTGTTCAAAATGTGAATCTGCATCTGGCTGTGAAGGGGAGCCGGATCCATGGCTCCCACTTCCTCCTGGGGGGCCTTCTGCTTCACTGATGGTCGGCATCACCTCGCACATCATCTTGCTCGCCGGAGGCAGCGGGCGAGGAGGCTCCGCGGCGGCTCGCGGGCGGCTGCTCGCTCCGGGCGGCTGCTCGCTCCAGGCGAGCTCTAGGGCCCACGAAGGCAGCCCGCGGCCGGCGTCCGCCCGCCGCCCCATGCCGCGGCCCCAGGGCCCGCCGCCCCAGTCACTAAGGTCGGCCCGCGGCCGGACACTGGCGGAGCGGAGGAGAGATGTCACACTTTTTAATTTCAAGGTGTATTACAAAGCTATAGTAATAAAAATAGTATGGTACAGGCATAAAAACAGACACATAGACCAATGGAACAGAATAGAGAGCTCAGAAATAAACTCACATATATACACAGTCAACGAATTATTGACAAGGGCACCAAGAATGTACAATGGGAAAGAAACATACTTCAACAAATGGTGTTGGAAAAATTGAATATCCACATGCAAAAGAATTAAACTGGACCCTTATCTTACAACACACACACACGTTTCTTCAAAATAGATTAAAGACCTGAAACCTTAATACTCTAGAAGAAATCATAGGAAAAAAGCTCCTCAACATTGTTCTTGGCAATAATTTATTTTTTTGAATGACACCAAAAGCACAGGCAACAAAAGCAAAAATAAACAAGTGACATCACATTAAATTGTAAGGCTTTTCATTTGCTGTGAAAGGAAACAATCAACAGACTGAAGAGACAACCTACAGAATGGAAGAAAGTATTTGCAAACCATACATCTGATAAGGTCTTAATAACTAAAATATAGGGGGGGCGGAGCAAGATGGCGGACGAATAACACCGCCAGACAGAGGGTCTCTGCAGAAAAGACAGATTCTAGCAGAAACTAGAGGAAAGAAGCAAGAAGACGAGCATACAGCGGACAAGGGCCAGAAGGAGGGGTACCTGAGACCCCGGTAGACTCCACGGGAGGAGGCTGCGGAGGAGAACTGGAGGCTGAGATCACCGGAGCAGCCCGGAGACCAGCAGCAAGGGTGGGTGGAATTGCTGTTTCCCCTCCCTTGCATTCGGGACTGCTGGTGGGCTCCCCAGCGGGTGGAGAGACCTGCGGACACCAGCCCAGAGACTGCCAACGGTGAGCCTGTAGCAGACGTGGCACCAGGTTCCCAACTTGCTCCGGGCACCTCCGTGTGCACGGACCCGTGCCGCGCGGCAGGCGCCATATTTCCTCCCCCTCCCCTCCGCCGACCCTACCCGCGGCTACCGAGAGAGACAATACAGCCACCAGCCGGAGGCACCTCCAGGGAACGGGACCTTCCCGTTTGGGACCCCGCCTGCCCACTCAGGTGCTGCTGGCACCGTGTTCCCAGGAAAACGGTGCCGACTCAGAGGCTAAGAGACATAAACCCAGCTTGGGATCCCTGTGGTGAATAGGCCGAAATCCTCTCCCTGGTGGGAATACAGTTTGATATGGACCCAGAGGTCGGAGCTGCAGACCAGATCCCCTGCACCGAGGGCTAGCATTGGCCCCGGCGGACAGAAGGTTATACGTATGAACAGGCCTACGAGGGTGTGTGTGCCCCAGGGGCGGATGGGTGTCTAGAGGGCAACGCCTGCTCCCAGAGGGGCCGTGGCCGCAACCCAGGTGGCATTCCTGTGCAGGAACCTCCCTCCGGCATCACAGTCCGGAGGCCTGGTGGCTTGTTCTGGCCTGCTGGCAAGGCCCAGGAGTAGCTGCGGAGTTGGGAGGGTGGAAAGAAGCGAGGCTGCTGCAGACTGCGGGTCTCAGACGCCCCCACCCCACACCCGAGACTTCTGCTAACGGGACCCATTCCAGCCCCGCCCGGCAGCTTTCCCTGGAAAGAGGAACAAACTTGACCCCTGCTAACGGCCTGAGGGCAGGCTTACCCAACCCAGCTCCGCCCAGAACAAGAGCTGATAACAGGACTCAAAATCAACACCATAGCCTGTTCCTCCAAGCAAATGCCACCAACGACAGGGACGGGCATCTTGCACAGCTTTCCCACGGCACCCACGGACTCAATATAAGGAGTGGTCCAATTTCACCCACACAAGCCACCTATCAGGCTCTCCAGAAACTAAACAAGTGGTGAAACCCAAACAATAACTAAGGAGAAAACAACAATTGATCGAGCATGGATGAAATCAGCAAAAGAACTCCAGAAATTGAAGAAACCAATGAGAAAACGACACCCCCAAAGAGGAGCACCACCCCCCTAGAAACGGACACCGACCCCCAAATCAGGCCAACGCAATATGACCAGAAGACGATTTCCGTATGGAACATAAGAACACTCCACCCAGCTGCAACAACAACTCAATAAACCAACACCAGAGAAACACAAAAGTCTCCAGTTATACGAAAAAGAAATAGACACATTGAAGAAAGTGTAAACGAATCCTGGACATGAAGAACAATTCAGAACTACCACAAATACCAGTGAAAGTCTCAAGAACAGGGGTAGAAAACAGAAAGAAAGAATCTCAGAGCTTGAAGATAGCACCTCCAATAAAAAAATCAGTCACGAAATAGTAGCAAGAAACAAGAGAAAGAGCAAAGCCTACCAAGAAGCTGTGGATTATGTAAGAAAGACCTAATGTGAAGGGTCATAGGGTTACAAAAGGGGTAAGAGACACACTCAAGGGGTTGGGACACAGCTGTTTGAGAATAATGAGAGAAAATTTCCCAGGCTTGCTCAAAATCTTGATATGCAAGCTTCAAGAGCTCAGGAGGACCCCTGGAGATTCTAACGCAAACAGGAAAGACGTCGCGACATGCAGTCATCATGACTGACCAAAGTATCCAACTAAAGAGGCCCTTCTAAGAGCTGTAAGTAAAAGAAGCCAAGTAACTCACAAGGAAAGCCAATCGAATAAATCAGACTTTCATAATGAGATCTTTACAAGCAAGGAGAGACTGGGCCCCCTTTCTCCACCTTTGAAAACAAAACAATGGCACCCACACTAGAATATTATTCCCTGCAACAACTAAGCTTTTCCGATAATGAAGGAGGAAATAAACATCTCAGACAAACAAGGGCTCAGAATTCCACCAAGACAGAACCGCCCCAAGAAGTACTTAAAATCATGCCGTTATCGCACGGAACATCCAATAAAACTAACCCACGAATAAACAAACACCAACCCATAAGATATAAGGCAATGATACTACATATGGCTCAAGACCAGAACTCATGCAACAACATCGCAAACCCAACATCGATCAGTAATCCTACCTTACCTACTCAGTTCTCGTCAATAAAGTGAATGCTTAACTCTCCACTTCAAGAACCATAGGCTTGCGAATGGAAAGAAATACAGCCAAGTATAGCTGTCTCCAGGAAAATCTTACCTGCAAGGAATGCATATAGACTAAAAATAAAAGGGTGGAGATCAATATTCCCAAGCAAATAGAAGCCGCAAAAGAAGTGGCTGGTCGTGGCCAGTTAATTTCAGACAATTTAGTTTTTAAACCACACAAAGAGTAAAAAGACAAAGAAGGTCATTAATAATGGGAAGGCACAGTCCAAGCAAGAAGAGATTAACATTTTAATATGCTATGCACGCAATTTAGATGCACCAGATTCAAGCAACCCTTACCCGGAGCAAGCAAATGGTTAATAGCAAAACTCCATAATCGCCGAGATTGTCAACCACCCCACTGACGGCACAGAACAGATCCCCAACAGAAAATTAATAAAGCAAATAATGGACTTTAAACCAAACCTAGAACCAATTGGGTCTGACAGACACTCAAGACAATTCTGACAAACTCTTACATGATATACGTTCTTCTCATCAGCTCACGGGACACTTCTCTAAGATGACTATAATCCTAAACAAACGAAAATCTCCAGAATATAAAAAAATAGAAATCCATACCATGTACCATCTTCATGATCACTAGTGGAATAAACTTAGAAATCACCCTAACAGAACTCAAACATTTCTACCCAAAAATTGGAATTAAACAACCTCGTTACATAATGATTACTCATAATGAAGAAATAACGGGAAAGAAAATAGTTTATGAAGAAAACGACAATGGCAGCAGACAAGTATCCCAATCCCTGGACACAGCAAAGCAGTCTGAGAGCAACAGTTATATCCATATATCCCTATAACCAAAAGACAAGAAGACACAACAACGAATCCTAAGAAACGACTCAAAGAAGCTGGAAAGAAGAAAACAGACCAACCCAAACCCAGCAGAAGAAGTGAAATCAACTAGATCAAATCAGAACTAGACGAAATGAAACAGGAAAAGCTATTCAGGAGATTATAAAAACAAAAAGCTGGTTCTTTGAAAAATAAACAAAATTGACATGCCATTGGCTAAGCTAACGAAAAGCAGAAAAGAGAATCTCTAATAAGCTCCATCAGGAATAAAAAGGGAATCACAACTGATCCCAAAGGATACAAGATACAATTTATGAATACTACAAAATCTTTATGCACCACAAAACTGGAAAATGTGGAGGAAAGGGACAAAATTTCGTAGAACACACATCCTCCCTAGGCTCAACCAGGAAGAAATAGATTCCCTGAACAGACCAATCTCAACAGCTGAAATAGAAACACGCAATTAAATCTCCTAAAAAAAGTCCCGGTCCAGATGGCTTCACACCTGAATTTACATACTTACAAAGAAGAACTAGTAGCCTATCTTGCAAACTATTCCAAGCAACATCGAGAAGAACGGAACCTCCGACACCTTTTATGAAGCGAATATTACTCTGATACCAAACCAGGAAGGATGCAACAAAAAAAGAAAATACAGACCAATATCCCTATGAATATAGATGCAAAAATTTCAACAAATCTTAGCTAGAACGAATCCAGACACTTATCAAAAAAATAATCCACCACACAAGTGGGCTTCATCCCAGGGATGCAGGGATGGTTCAACATATGTAAATCTATAAATGCAATTCACACATAAACGAAGCAAAACAAAGACCCACGATGATTTTTCAATAGATGCAGAAAAAGGTGCTGACCAATTCAACACCTTTCCATGATACGAACACTTAAGAAAAAGGCATAGAAGGGACATACCTAAAATGATACAAGCCATATATGACAGACCC